ATTTTTACAGTTACAAAAACATATCAAATGCGCCGCTATTATATAGTTTATATTTTTTCAATTATCAAAATATTTTAACAATAATCATGCTCTTGATTTGTTAGTAATTAGTTAATAGACTTTTGTAGATGCTCATAAATAGAGCAAAAATCAGACACATTTTCACCTTGCATTTCCACACTCATAATTTCAGTCATCGAAAAAATTATTTCGACACAATAGTCTTTTGAGTTCCAAATGACAATAAAATTTGATAAATATGATTTTCTTGGCTAAGAACGAGTAAAAAAACTGCAATATTGCGATTGATTCGATTTTGTCAAAGAAACTTTCGGCAAACAAAGAAATAACTACTGGACTGGAGTTTTTTTCATGATGTTAAGGCATGCATAAAATGTTTATATTGAAGACTACAGTTTAACATATATATGTTTCTGATTTTATATCTTATACATCCAATTAATCTCGACTTTTTAGGGTGTGCATATCCATGCATCAACAGCCGAATGCTTGGCAGCAAAGTTAAAGATGTTTGAACTTGACAAGAGTCGTATATATGGGGGATTAAGCACTTCAAATAGCTTCGTCGTTAATAAATTAAAAGCATGTCTACGATGGCTAAACAAAATCGGAATCGATCTGAGTGTTTGTCTCCGATGAGCCAAAAAAATTAAAAATGAAGAAGAAACGACGAAAATGTTGCAGGTGGTAGGGTTTCAGACATTAAAAACTTGCATCGACCACCTTCTTGAATGTTCTACATTTGTGTGGTGGATGAATTTCTACATTTGTGTGGTGGATGAATCTTTGACCGTGCTATATGAGTCCGTGCATATGAGTTATTTTTAATTTAGCCCAATTTTGGGTAAAAATAAAATAATATAAAATGAAACATCGGTCTTGATATTACTAAATTGAATTCAAATGAAATCAAGTTTATATTGGCCTAGTTTTGGGCCCGGTAAAAAAATATCTTATTGTTTGATTTTGTTTAGGCTTTGTTAACAAAACAATAAAAAACAATGAGAAACAATGGGCTGCGTATGTTTAGGCTTAAGTTATAAAAAAAAATGGGTTGCATTTTTATTTAAAACATTCTCTTACTAATTTTTTTTTGTTGGGCTACATCATGAAATCAAATTGGAATTCGAAATATTATGAACGTTGTATATAAAGAAGTGTTTAAATATTTAGATTTTCTTTAAAACGTTTTTCCAATAATTATGTTATAATTTTTATTAATTTTTATATTTTTATTATTATTATTATTATTATTATTTTCATATAGCTTTCCGTGCAAATGCACGGATAACAACTAGTTATTATTGAATTATTCATGGTAGATCATTAAACTCAATAAACTTGAACAATTGAGATTAAAGTGGTGGGCAGATGAAGGGCTTAAAAATGTAAATATATTAATTGATAAATAATTTTATTTTTCTGATTAATATTAAAAATAATTTTATTGTTGTTATAAAGATAAATATATTTTTTTATACATATCGAAGCTCACCAAGAGATGATATTTGATAAACTATATAAGTAAAAATAATAAAAAATACAAAAGTTATTAAATTTTAAAATACATTTAGAAGTCAATGGTTATAATAAGAAATAATATTAGAATGCAACTAGTGCGTATCCGTACGATGCACGGGTAAATAATATTCAATAATAATTATAAATTAAATATGAGGGTAAACAATATTAACTAATAATCATAAATTAAATATGAGAGTCAACTGACATAATTTATCGTATATCAGTTCTAAACAACATAAAATTATCTTGTATAAAATAACATTAGTAAATGTCTGTTTAAAATATTAAAAACACCTAAAATACTATATAACGTATGTAAAGTATCTAAATTTTTATATATCCTTATCGAAAGATGTGAAGTCACCTAGAATATTTCTAAACTATTTTGTAAAAAAAAAACAAGTCTTAAATTATTTATAAAAATCTTACCTACAATATATCATTTAATTTCCAAAAAATGTTGATAAGTATAAGTTTGAATTTTAGAATTCACGTGAGTATTAATTTTGAGATTCGTGTACTATTTAAATTACTAATTATGTTCATTTCTTGTGAACTTCATATTGATTTATTGATTTTATTTTATTTCCATTAAAAGTTGATCGTCTCATTTTGTTTTACCAATATTAATGGAGATTTAATAAAGTCGGTTGCATTTTGAAAATGATTTGGATATCAACATACAATTTTTAATTGAGTTTTCAAAATTGTGTACTATTAACAAATAATAAATCATCTATAATTATTATTTTTTAAATGCACAACTATTAAAACTGAGAATTTGAAAATTATTTTACCTTTTGAAACCGAGTTTAGAAAAAAAAAACAGTATATTGATAAACAAATAATTGATAAACATTACGAAATTTATTATTACATGTTCCAAATAGATAAATTGTAATGATTTGTAGAAAATGATATTCATTTGAAAGACACGAATATAAAAACCGTTATTCTAAAACTTTTGTTACCTTATTTTGCATTGAGATTTTACAAATATAGAGACCGAGATTTTAATGTTGTTCGTTGTTCTAAGAAAAAAGAAATGAAAACATGCACACTTAATAGATTTTAGCCGGAACTTTTAAATAATAAAATAAATTAAAGCCCAAAATTTAAGGCAATATTTGATGATGTATGATTTTTTAAAAACAAAAATAAAAAAAATAATAAAACTTACTATTTATATGATGCATTAAATTATGTCCTCTTTTTTTGCTACTATTTTTGGTAAATGATAATTCTTATTATAAAGATATATAGATTAATACATGTAACATGACTATAAATAATCAACATATTTATGGATATTCCGGACCTAATTATTTTTGAATTGAAAGTAAATTAAAATCTACCCAAATCTAATAACGAAACATGTAATTTTGTCATATAATATCCAAAAGCATGCGAACATGCCACTTAAGCTCAGCACATTCTCAGTTAATACATAAAGGGGAAGGGGATATTGTCAATAAAATGGTGCTAGCCAGGTTGAAGTATTAATTAATTCTATTTAATTAATAAATCTACTTACTTTCATACACAAACAACATATTTTAAAAGATCTAAATATCTAATTCATAAGCATTATTCGAAAAGATCTAAATATTTAATTAATGAATATGATTACTTTCATACACAAACAACATATTTTAAAACCAGCATACAAAACACTACAAAAGTAGTATGTTTTGATATTCATTCTTGGCCTGAATTACCACAAAAATCTTGATTATTGATTTTGATAATATTATAAAGAGAAAAATAATGGATATTTGACAATCCATAACCCAAACTACATAACTACACAAACTAATAGTAACCAAAAGCAATTGAGCAGATCTAAGGCCACCAGACCAGAAACAGAGATGCAAAGGGCTCAAATTGGCACAAACATGTTACAAACTAGAATAAAGGTCACAAAAACCAAAGTGTATCAGCATAATATGGATTCTTGTGTAGAGGCAGATGTTAGAACTTAGGATTGCAATTTGTTCCGAAAAAAATCATTCCTGTTTCTAATAAAACACACAGAGAGTTCATGGACAGCAAAAGATGGTAAAACATGGGCAAATTCAAACTAACCACTCGACAACTTGAGGAAGGATAACTTGCATCTAATCTTATGAACTGAAAAAGGAATATGATCGTGATTTCATCTGCAAAGACTTGAGAAAGAGTATACATATAAAGATTCTAAAGATCAACTATACATGCTTTCCATAGGCATTGAGAAAGAGACTATATACATAAAAAGATTCTAAAGATCAAGAGACTTTACGTATAAGAATACTAAAGATTGATTCTGAAGATCAACTATACATGCTTTCCATAGGCATGCGTGACTTCATGGTGGATATAACAATATTCATATGCCACAGTTGACATATTTTCTTAACCGATACACATCTTTACACTATCTATCAGATGGTAATTTCCAATATGATCGTTAAAGGAACTTGTTCAAACCTCAAAAATAATATAGGATTTTGCAAATGAATGTTGGATATGCATTCCAGTCGAATATCAATATCAAACTGGTCAAAAGCTAATTACTTGGGTCTAAGCACAAATAAACACACAAAACTCCAGTATTTGATAATATTACAAAAAAGGGAATTGGCTCAATCCTCAAAACCCACCACACCATTAATATGCAATTGATATCGAAATAAAATGCAAACTAAGTTTCCACCCTTCCAAACCCCCTTTATAGTTGCACATCAATTAAGAAAGCATAGCTGTGATCTCAACCTAGCAGCAATGGCAAAGGAGGTTCACATGCAAAAAACATCACTCAGCAAAACAAAATTTGAAGCTTGCATCCGGGCAATCAACACTCAATAAAACCATCACAAATGAGAGAAATAAGAAACTTTTCATACCTTTCCCCCCTCATGAAGTACCCACCAAAACTACATTTAACAATCCAGATAAAATCCCAGCAGCATTAGAAGTGTTACAGTGCAAATAGAAGTTTACAACTAGCACCAAAAACCGAGATGATAAAACAAGTCACAATGCTTGTCATATAAACTACAAAAGAGATTCATTTTTCAGAATACAAACATGAAAACAGAAATGCAAGCACACTTTAGACACCTTCATATTCATACCCACATAGCACTTCACATACAACACCCACACCCAAATATATGATAATAACACTCAATTTTTTTACCAAGAAATCATGTATCATTATCCAAATAAAAAAAAAAAAGCATCATAAACTAAAAACAGGTCCCTAAAACAAGTATTTATTAATCCATACCATAAAACCACCTTCATCAAGACACACGATCAAATCCATCGCAGCAAACCAAAACATCACTAACTTAAAAAAAAAAAACCCTAGTTGCAAAGTCGACAAATGGACATAAAAGAGTAGGTGGAACAACCAATCACAACCCAACATTAGAAAGAAAAAACAAACACAAAACCTAAAATTTCGATCTTTAGACGGGACTAAGAAGCTGAGAAAGGGACGGTTTTGGTTCCGAGTTCATGCCGATGACAATTATCAGAGGAATAAAACCGTAATGGGTGACGACTTTGGCTTTCTTCATGGCCCAGGTGCCCCACTCCTTCACGAACTTCGCCGCCACGGCCGCCGCACCCTCCTCCTCGTCCGCGGCCGGAGATTTTTTCACGATCTTGCCTTTCCCCGCCTTGAGAGAAATTCTGGAGGCCATTTGCGATCGATGGGTTTCGGAGGATCTTCTTTTGGGTTTTTCCTCTTCTGTTTGATTCTGATCTGTGGCTGCTGCTCTGCGATAATAATTTTGATTATATCCGAAAAATCGAGGGTTGATAAATAGCTGCAAAGCCTTCCAAGTTCCAATGCCCTAGAAGTAGAACCACCAAAATCGACGGTACTTGCACCGCATTTGAAAGGACAAAAATGCCCTTTCTCAATACAAATACGAAAAAATAATTTGAAAAATGTGTATGGTTAGTTGTTAGTGCGTATCTTAAAATAATATTTTAAATAAAATAATTAAAATTGATTTGATATAAAAGTGGGAGAAAAATGACTTAAAGTGATGATTAGTTAAAATTATGTAAATAGATGAATAGTAAATTAAAATTGATGTGATGTGTGAGTATGATTACTTGATATTATTTGATAATATTAATGATAGTGGAGTTGAGTTAGAAAAAGTAGTTGAGTTTAAAATATTTGCATTTTTTTGAGTATATTTGTATCCAAGCACCATGGTTTGATAGACCGATAATCAATTATATATTTTTTTTAACAAAAATATCGAGTTCTATTGATAAATATCATATTTTTATTTATATTATTTGCATAAGTATGTTGATGAATATAATGTTGGTGGTATAGACCAAACTAATAGTGGTAAGGGAAAAGAGGAACCGGATGCCTCCGGGATCGGGCCGCTGCCGAACGGATGAGAGAGAATAAGCGAGATCTGATTAATCATTACCCAAAGCTAGCCGTACTGCACGCATTAAATGCGAAGATATACAAAAATCTCCTATCCGACGACAAGGGAAAAATGGGGACGCGTGGCACGATCAGGACGGATATCTGGTATTGGAAATAGATTGTTAAGTACAATTAGCATTAAATGCAGAATGACTAATATCTAAAAATATCCTGTAAAAGGAAATGTAAAAATCCCCAAGAGGGAAATGTAAAGGTCCTTAAACTTCCTATAAAAGGGAGGGGAGGACATCATTTAATGCAATGAGTAAATGCTCTCATTAATTACTCTATAAGTCACGGATAGCCTAAGCATTCGGACCAACAATTGGCCCGAATCATACATACAAATACTATTCATGCAGACCGAACATAGCATACATCCTAGTGTGCAGTTCGAATACATTGTTGGTCATTTTTAGACAGTAACAATTGGCGCTAGAGGAAGGGGTATTCCAGCATGTCAAAAACAACTTCTTCATCATCAAGCCAAAGTCGCCGACGAGACACGCCGGAAGAAAGGGAAGACCGGCGAAACAACCCAACTACGAGGACGGACTACTCAGCCTTTTTTAAAGACCCAAAATTTGTCAAAGGAATATCAAACCTGATAACACAGATCCGACCCTCTACGTCTCAAGCACCCAAAACCCCAGCCAAAAAAGACCTTACCAACGCCCTCAAAGGCAAGGAAACGAACGTTCACGAAGAGACCACTCGGTCGCCCGGGAGCACGAAGGAAAAATTCTACCACCCGGACAAAAAATGAACAGACAGACGAAAGTCGCTCGGTCATGGACACTCGAACCCGCAACACCACCCGGTCGGTTTTCAAACGGCTAGGAAAAAACGTGGCCGACGACGACTTGAGGAAAACATTGCTCAGAAAGCGAACGACTCAAGCCGAAGAGGAGGAAATGAAGAGTCTTCGAAGAAGAATAGCCGAACTCGAAGCTCGACGTTCGGCCCAAAAACGACTTGCTTCCACCGGACAGGACCTGACAAAAGTCCCTCTCAAACGAGCCGCGACGACTTCAAGGGCACAAACCGAGTCCAGCCCAGCCGAACCTGAATCACCCCTAACATTTGATATTTTGTAGGAACAGTTGCCCGAGAAGATCAAGATCCCGCAAATTGGATTTTATGACGGAACATCCGACCCGGACACCCACCTAGGATTGTACACGTCATGGATGGACCTGCACGGAGCACCGGACGCCCTCCGCTGCCGGATGTTCTCATTGACTCTGGGAGAAAAGGCACAAAGATGGTACCATTCGCTCGCCCCACATTCGGTCGCTAGGTGGTCACAATTAAAGTCAATGTTCCGAACGCACTTTATCGGATCCCAGGCGTGCCGAATTCCCAAAGAATCGATCACTCATATTATCCAAGGAGCAGACAAAAATTTGAAGGATTATATCACTCGTTTCAACGAACGGGTACAAAACATGGAACCGTGCCATCAAGAGACCCTGCTCGTTTCAGCATATTCAGGGCTGAGACCAAATTCGATGTTCAAATGGTCCCTTTGCCAAAACAAACCCCAGACGTATCACGAATTCTTGATGAAAGCTCAACAACATTTCATGGCAGAAGAAAACATGTTCGTCCCGTCATTTCCAGCCCTGAACGAACAACCCACCAAATCGAAGGAATCCCGACCGAACAAGGAGTTTACGAAGGACGGAAGGAGTGCCCAATTCCGAGCCATGCAAAGAAAACATCACGAGGAACTCACGAACAGCTACCAGGGAGTGTATTCGGCCGGCGCGGCCGTGGTGTACGAAGAGTTGAAAAACAAGGGGATCATCCAAGACCCTAAACCGATCAGGGCCGATGAAGAGAATTTAGACAAAAGCCGATATTGCGCTTACCAATGAAGAGAATTTAGACAAAAGCCGATATTGCGGTTACCACAAATTGCACGGCCACAATACCGACCAGTGTCGGAATTTGATATCTGCCCTGTTAAAACTAATTGATGATCCGCAGGTAAGGAGGTTCACTAGGATGGACGGAGGCAACCGGAGGCCAAGAAACGACGACCGAATGAACCCAGGAGACGAGCTCGATTTTGGAGTGAATCCTCGGAGAGCGAACTAACATCCCAATGAAATCTTGACGATAAGTCAGGAGCAACGAGGTGAGACAAGCGCATCCGGGGAAAGGAAAAGGACAGCGTCCAGACGAGACGAGGAGCATTCGGTTCACATCCCAATCTGAAGAAGTGGACCGCCCACGAGGGTCAATACGAGCCGGGAAAGTACGAGCGTGTCAAGAAGGCAGGTCAAGGCGTACGTCCGAAAAGCATACAACACAGGATACCAAGTCAGCCGAGCGGAGGTCAACCGACACGTCCCCATGCCACACAAACCTGATAATGTTTTCGGATGAAGATTCTCTCCCATTTGATAATCTGCACTCAGACGCGCTCGTAATCACAGCCCCCATCTTCCGAATTCCAGTCCACCGAATCATGGTGGACACTAGGGCGTATTGAAGTATCTTGTATTGGACCGCATTCCTTAAAATGGGGATAGATCGAAGCGAACTGCGCCCATGCAACGACCGTATAACAGGGTTCAACGGGCAAGCAACCATTCCCAAAGGAGAAATCACATTACGAATTGAGCTCGGAGGATCAGGAGCGAATGGACGAAGGATCATGGAGACTTTCAAGGTGGTGAAAACGGCCAGCGAGTACAACGCCATCCTCGGACGAACGGCCCTATACAAGCTGAAGGCAGCCGTATCAATCTTCCACTATTCGATCAAGTTCCCAACTGAGAACGGTACAGGAGTCCACTACGGTAACCAAAAGGAAGCGAGAGAGTGCATCATGGCGATCCCATCATTAGAAATACACTCGGTCATGGTGACGAACGAGGAAGAGAAACCGATCATCGAACCAATTGTAGAACCAGAACAGTCAGACGAGCAAGAAGTCTCGCCCGAACAGCCGGACAACAGTGCGGCCAAAGGACACACGAATGAAAGAAAGAGGGTGAGGGAAGAACCGATCGAGGGCCTAGAAGAGGAAGACGAGTACCCCATGCTGACGTTATCAAACGCAAACACACCCTCACCCCTGAGAGACGGACAGGTTGAGAAAGCTGTGAAAGAATCAGAGGCTAATCACTCCAACCCGGATGGAGAACAAAATCAGAAGTCCACCCAGGAGGAGGACGATCCGTTCGATAAGGAGGACCGAATGGCAGACCGGGGGCGACGACCAGGGAAGGAACCAATTAAAGAAAAAGATGAGCTGGACCCCCGAGATCAATTCAAAGGAAGGAAATTCGAACGGGCCGAACCAAGCGAAGACACGGAGGTGATCTATCTTGATGAACCGGCCTGCACCAAATCATTGCGCATCGGAGGAAACATAGGCAAGCCCATCCGGTCCAGGTTAATTGCCTTTTTGACCGAAAACGCAGATGTCTTCGCCTGGACGCATGAAGATATGGTGGGGATCGATCCAAACTTAGCATGCCATAGCCTTCGGGTTGACCGAACGGTGAAACCAATCGTGCAGAAAAGGAGGAAGCTGGGACCGGAGCGACAAGAAGCACTCAAGGGAGAGGTAATAAAGCTGATTGACAACCTGTTCGTTTGCGAAGCTAAGTACCCGGTTTGGGTATCCAATCCGGTTTCGGTAAAGAAGAACAGCGGGACATGGCGATTATGCGTCGACTTCAGCGATCTCAACCGGGCCTGTCCCAAAGACAGTTATCCGTTGCCCAACATCGATTACATGGTGGACGCGACGTCCGAACACGAACTCATGAGCTTCATGGACGCCTATTCGGGGTACCACCAGATCCCAATGGACCCGAACGATGAGGAGCACACATCTTTCTATTCGGCCAGAGGACTCTACTGCTACACCATGATGCCATTCGGTCTCAAGAATGCCGGCGCAACCTACCAGAGGCTCGTGAATAAGATGTTTGCAGATCAGATCGGACGAACCCTGGAGGTTTACGTGGATGATATGCTTGTTAAATCTATTTTTGCGAATGATCATGTGACACATCTTAATGAAATGTTTTCTATTTTGCGTGATTACTCCATGGTGTTAAATCCCAAAAAATGTACGTTTGGAGTAGGTTCGGGTAAGTTTTTAGGGTACATTGTTAGTCAAAGGGGAATCGAAGCAAACCCCGACAAGATTAAAGCAATACGAACTAAAACCCCCTAGGTCGATAAGGGAAACGCAAAGTCTAACAGGTAGATTAGCAGCTTTAAACCGATTCATATCAAAGTCCATGGACAAATGTAAGCCCTTCTTCGAGGCTATTAAAAAGAATAAAAAAATTCGAATGGACGGATGAATGCCAACCGCACTGGACTACATCAAGGAGTCGCTCGTTCGACCCCCCGTCCTCAAAAAGCGACCCCGAGAGAGATGTTGTATCTATACCTCGGAGTAACCCCGACCGCGATAAGCGCCGTACTCGTTCGGGATGAGAATTTGAACCAACATCCGATCTATTACACAAGCAAGGCATTACATGAAGTTGAGGTCCGTTACCCGCAAATCGAGAAGTTAATCTTCGCCCTGGTAACGGATTCAAGAAAACTCAGGCCATATTTCCTTGAACACCGGGTGACCGTCTTGTCAGCCTATCCTATTCGACAAATTCTCTACAAGCCAGATACGTCGGGACGAATGATCAAGTGGGCCGTAGAGCTTGGGCAGTTCGATCTACAATATAAACCACAGACGGCGATAAAGGGACAAGCGCTGTCTGACTTCGTAGCTGAGTTCACAACGGGAGCCGAACCAGTCCAAACTACAGAGACTTGGGAGATGTACATAGACAGATCGGCCACAACTGAAGGGGCCGGGGGAGGAGTTGTGATCGTCAGCCCCCAAAGAAAGTTGTATTGCCATTCGGTCCGGTACCTGTTTGCCGCGACCAATAACGAATCTGAATACGAGGCACTGTTATCCGGCCTGGACTTGGCCCATTCGATGAACATCACGAATTTAAAAGTGCATTCGGACTCAATGTTGTTAGTGAAGCAAATCTCAGGGGAGTTCGAGACGAAGGAAGCCCGCCTGGTACCATACTTGCACCTAGCTCGAAAGAAGATAACGCGAGCGAACATTCAGCTCGTGCACGTTCCCCGGTCAGAGAATTCCCAGGCGGACGCGCTCGCACGATTGGCATCTAGCCGAGGAACTGACGAAATCGAGTGCGTTTACACACGCCATCAAGAGAAGCCGGCCGTTCAGGTCGAGCAAATCATGAGGATTGAAGAATCGGCCGCTACCAAAACTCCTGGATGGATGGACCCGATCCGATCATACTTGGAGAAGGGAGAACTCCCCGCGGATCTCAAAGGAGCCCGGTCATTAAGGATCTGAGCGGCAAGGTACACGATCATGGCAGGAACGTTATACAAGAGGGGCTATTCGAATCCATTGCTCAAATGTGTGGACAACGAAGAGGCCGAGCGAGTCATGAGAGAAGTACACGAGGGAGTATGCGGGAACCATTCGGGGGGACGAGCGTTGGCACACAAAATACTGCGACAGGGGTATTACTAGCCCACGTTGTAAAAGGACACGTTTAACCTAGTCAGAAGGTGTATCAAGTGCCAAACGTTCGCCCCTAACCTGAAGCAACCGGCTCATCCGCTCACCTCAGTTTTCAGTTCCTGGTCGTTCGCCAAGTAGGGGATCGATTTAATCGGACCCTTACTAACGGGCAGGGGAGGAGTCAAATACGCGGTCGTAGCGGTCGATTACTTTAATAAATGGGCGGAAGCCGAGCCTTTGACTACGATAACCGAGCAAAAGATGGTCGATTTTTTGTGGAAATCGATCGTTTGCCGTTTTGGTATTTCCCATTTTGTGGTAACCGATAATGTAACACCCCACTTTGATTTTACAGAAATTTCGAATTTTCCAAAAACCAGTATAAAATTTTCAAAATCATTTTCGAAAACTTAGTGGGTGTTAACTAACATTTTCATAACCCAAGTCTTATCTGGGCCTACGGGGATTCATTACCCAGTTTTCACAAGAGGTTTTCATCAACCAACACAACTCATAAATAAATAGTCAAACATCAATCCCAAAACTACGAGGGTTCGTAAGATTCAAAATCCTCACACCAATTTTGAAAATAGTTTGCACAAAACATAACGTGCAACAAATTTATTCAAGTTCAACGGAAGCCATAATAATGCAGAAATAAATAAACCGACCAACTCGTCCTTTCTTCGTCACCCGGCTGTCACTTAACCTGCATCGGTAAAGAGCAGGTGGGGATGAACAC